AGTTGGACTCACTACACAAACATAAAATAAAAATTACTGCAATCAACGCTTCTCATGTTGAGCCATCTTGTCACTGTGGAGCTTCTTTAGACAAGGTTATATTTAGGCGGTTCAAAAATCTAAGTTGTGATGTTTAACACACAGCCATGCTTGATCCAGCTGTCTAACCCCAGCAGTCAAAGGATTGGCGGCAAGGCCCAATGGACCAACTCTGCTGCAGCGATGACTACTCAGGAGTCTTTCCTCTAAGGTACAAAGAAATGAGGACATATCATGTGAACAATAACTCACAATACCGGAAGAGGGCTAGAACCACATGGAAATGCATTGTCTTGGGCAGTGGATTGTTATTATCATGATTATGCAACTGACATACATTTGGCAAGCCAGAGGTTTCACCGGTCAACTACCTAAGCATGGGGACGATCCTGAGAAAACCAGGATGGGTGGTAACCCTGGGCGATCCTCATTTTACGACCTCATGCGTCCAGTGCCTGCACCACTGCATTAGATTTTCCACGAACGCTCGAGCGTCCTCCACAAAAGCAACCATCGCGACTGACGTCAGCGTTTACTTTGTACTGTGGCACACGAGCTGACCGCTGATTGGTGACCAGTGGCAGCACAGGAGTGTGACCGAGCGCGTGCAACGGTTCGCGCCGCTGCACTACCAACGCGGCAACCCCAGTTCGATTCCTGCTCATGGCAACGATCTGAACCGGTCCTGGGCCTCCCCTAGGTCGACTCAGCCTAAAATGCGTCCTTGGTGCGAAGTGCAAACATTGCCACTGGGGAAGAAACAAAGGCGGCCGGGCGTGGTGCTGGCCACCCACCCTGTCGTCGTGTGCAGTGCCGGCCCTCACAGGTGCTTGCTAATGGCACTCACCCCAACAGTCTGCTAAGGCTACACGGGGGATCTTTGTCTTTGTGTGTGCCCACCCAGTACTGCTGCAGACCTGACTGTGTGAACACGTTTGCACAAACAACGGCAGGAAGCACTCTTCAACAAGGGTGTCACGTGACCCGGGAGCTTAAGATGACAAGGTGCTGGCACTGAAACACCGAAATTCTATGCACAATTAGCACCAAGCACAAAAGTGGGACATTTGTGTTTATAGCAATGGTTGTTAAGTGTTGTTAATAAGCCCTTTCAAGTAGGAGCCGAGAGGCCATAGGGGAAGAAAAACACAGTTTAAAAAAAGAAAAAAAGGAGCAGGGAGAGGTTGGGAGAGGAAGGGGGGCATTGTAACATTTTTTTTAAACTTCTTTTTTATTTTACCAGGTGAGCCCACTGCACTGTATAGTTCTTTTTTCATTAGCGACCTGGCCACAAACGATAGCTCAACGCAGTGGCTTATCACGTGGAAATGTAGAGCAGCTAAATACTCTAAACGCACGTTTCTAAATGTGGAGGGAAAAACTGGAGCACCCGGAGAAAAATCCACGCGACCACGGGGAGAACACGCAAACTCTAAATATACAAGCATTAGGGTCGGGATCAAACCCACGACCTCCTGCATACCAGGCGAGGGAGTTAACATCTCTCCACCGTGGCGCCCATTCCATCTGCCCATTGATACGTCTCAGCCATTATTGAAAATACACCGCAAACGCGAATAATCAAATCGAGCTGAGAAGCTGTCCTCCGCTGAGGATAACTGCCAGTGAAATGTATACCGACATGCCTGAAACGGGTATAAAACTGAAATGGAAGTACTGGGCAGGAACATTAGCGCATGTCGCGCTATGAACTTGGTTAGCCGAGTTCGATTCCCAGCCATGGGTAACATCTGTGAGCGAGTGATCTCTCAACCAGTCCTGGGCTCTCCCGTGTCACCAACGCGCAACGAAGAGGCACGGTGAAGTATGATTAAGCAAACCACATGACCGGAAGGCAGAGGGGAGGCGGCCTTCCTCCAGGAGTGAATTAATAAATGGATGAACTTTACATGAACGCTCAGCATTTTTTAGAGGACCACATGTGATTTGTGGTGGCTGAGGATTGCTTGGACTTGCCACTTCCAGTAAACGGGGAGATTATGTAATGATACTGTTCAAAACTTATCCACTGGAAAACCCTTTCCCTGAACATTCTTGTTCAATATTAAAACACAAGACTATCAGATTTAAGCCAATATATGAACTGAAATCACCTCATTAATATCTTCACAAATGGTGCCTTGCGTACACGGACATTCAACTGCTGGATGAGGGCCTCCGGATGCCATCCAGATCATGTGTGTCAGTGCTTATCGGTGAAGGCGGCAAGTACAGACATGGGAGCATTTATGCACAGTGCGACAATGGATTTTTATACACGGTCCGATGGAGCCCACAAAATAGCCCCGCAATACCACCTTATTACAACAAATATAATAGGTATATATACATTTAATAGGTGAACAATTTGTGTCATGACCTTTACCGCGGGATGGAGAAAAAAGGCCATTGTCCCAAATGTTGCCTGCACTTCACTTTTCTGCTACAAAAGCAGTCGGAATGACAACAATGCTAAGGTGTTTTTTTTTTCTCTCGGGGTTGAGCGATGCATCAATTAATCAATGAATATAGATCCTTAAAGCTTGCAAGACGTGGGCCGAATAGCATGGTATAAAAGTAGGTATTTGTAAATTTGTTTTGTTATGTAATGGGTTTACATCACACCACTGTAGACAGCAGAGCCGCTACCATGGAGCAAAACAAGTTAAAACAAATATATATATAGATTCGTCAATCGCAACACTGATTTTCAACAAATTCATAATTCCTGGAGGAAGTGAATCTTCCCACTGATAGTGTTTTTAATGTCCTTGTGCACCGCCACCAATGCAGTTCCCTGTATTTTCAGTTAAAATTTTAACAAAATGACATTACAAACAAACACAGTCAACGTAGTAAAGTTTTCGATGTAAGTAAATGGCGTCTTGTGTTCTCTATACCGTGGGCTCTCGCTGGGAAACACACATCGCTTCCGGCCCGGTCATCAACCCACTTGCTGTATTGCTATTTAACGGACACCCTGTAAACCTTGTAGTAGTTTGGCATCTCATCTCTGTGCGAGCCAAAATCCCCCCCGCCGCCTCCGATTTGCCGGATTACAAGCACTCGCGCGCGTCACCAACAATCCTGGAGAAATGAAAAAAAGTACAGACCAGTTTTGCTACAAAATGAACCTGCATGCCTCTGGCACCAAAGCCTTGAAGGGCACCACGTTTTCTTAAAACGGCCAATAGGAATTCTCTGACAAGGCAAATCTGTTTCACGTACGAAGGTCACACACAGAATGCATGTATTAAAATCTACTTTCACAACATCTTACCAGCGGACACTTATGCAGCTGACAAAGCGTCGTGAGGCCAAGCTACTGCTGTCACTTCTCTGCCATGGGATGTATGTATGTAGAACTTATAATGCACCGTACGTAGCCAACCGTGCGGGGAAAGGACAACAAACTAAACACAAGAAGCAGTTCTTAGGAAATTAGTTTTCAATTTAGATTTAAAAGTGCATAGCTCCAGTGGCTTCCTAATATCGGAAAGGCAGAGCGTTCCAGATGGCCGCAAAAGCGCAGCTGAAAGCGCGAGATGCAGTGACCGTCATTGTTCGATAGCTCGCCAAAAGCCGCTGCGAGGATGATCGGAGTTCGGTGACGGCTTATGCTGCTTGACGACATCAGCAAGGTATTGTTGTTAATTTGTGGCAAGCGCTTTGCGTGCAACGAGCGCCACCTTATAATGCATTCGTTTGGGCAACCAGAAGCCAATGCAGCTCGGCAAGCGCTGGACGGACGGACACGGTCGGACCTTGCAGTACCCCCGTCACGACACGTGCCAAAGAATTTTGTGCACAATGCAGCTCTAATGTAATGGTTAGCACGCCACAATCCAGTGGTCGCCAGTTTGATCTCCTGGTGCTTCACTTGAAACAACGCGCAAGGTTCCTAAATCCCACCACCCCCCACCGCATCCTGCTTCTGTCCACCCAGCAGTATATAAATAGTTGCACAAGCTCAACGATCGATAGGTCGCATGTGCTGGGGCAACGTGTGGGTATTCCAGCACGGAATAGTAAGTAAAAAAACTGCTTGCAGAGGCTCTGTAGAGTGCCCTCTGGTGTAAGCCCTTCTGCCAGCAGTGGCGTGAGCACGCAATTGCAGGAATGTACCTTTACCGTCACTTGTCCATGCAATTTCCAGCACTGTAACGTCACAACAGAACTCCAGTTTGCCAGTTCACGTTGGTTAGAATTACTGCTCTTCCAACTCCAATGCTACTAGACTCATCAGCAATGTTCCACTGTCTTCAAATCACTGAACCAATTGTCTGACATTGCCTTAACATATGCAGGTGACCCCGTACAAACAAGAGCACGCAGCCTGAACACAAGTCTCTCACTATAAATTCGATCACAGCTTCACGCTTGAAAGACATGCCCTCTTTAGCCATTTTGCTCACGACAACTGCAGCGCTAACCATGCGGCTTACACGCGACGCGACACGGGGGCATGCGGTAGAACAACCGATCGAGGATCACGCTTGCCCGGTGTAATGTCAACGTAACGAATAATTCTCCTTTGGACGCGTGCAATGGTGACCGCAAATGATGAACGTGCGGCGCAGAGGCGGTTTTACGCCGCACAGATGAGTCTCATTGTAGACACGGTGGTTTACTGTAAGACGCGAGCCATAAGAATGTGGAATTTCTGCCACTGGCTCAGAGCCACTGCCCGAGGATAAGCATCGCCCGTAGGCTCGTTTGAACAGCGGCACGACTTTTGACCATCGCTTGAAGCGCCGTTCCTGCCGCTAAAACCAAACTATTTAATCCAAACGACGCTTTCCCTTCAGTGCGAACGGAGATGAGCATGACCGCGTGGCCGTCTTGAGCGGGGGAGTAGCACTCTGGAGTAACATAAACGCACAATTGACAGTGGGGCAGAGCAACAGCTGCCCCAGAGCGGAGCGGCGCGAGCCGAGAGCGAGGTGGGTGCGCGCGTTTACCTTGTTCGTGCCTCTTGATCTGGCGGATCTGGTTGACCGTCTCGCGCAGCACGGCGCACTTGTCGGGCTTTACGTTGAGGCTGTCGATGTCACTGATGTTGGCCGAGATCAGCTCGGCCAGCTCTTCGATGTACTTGTTCTCTTGTTCGCGCCATTGCCGCTCCGGCGTGCACTTCACACTGTGGTGGCACAGATTCACGGGGGATGGGGGAGGGAGGAGGGAGGGTGGGGTGGTCAGTGGGAGAAACATGATGATATATACACATACATACACACACACACACACGTTTACACCCCCCTTCTTTACTGGCACATACGAATCCAGCCAAGCACCGAGCCTGGTACGGGTGGTTTTCGGTTGACCACGTGCCGTGCCAGAACCAAAACGTGCTACGCTGGCCTCATAAGATATCCGAGCCTGGCTCGGGGACACAGGCTCAAGGATGGGACTAACGACACGCTCACTGCGTGACATCGATCAGTACGCCGAGGACACAGCGCCACTGCGTCAACTACATGCGTCTCTATGCGTTCATTGGTGAATCCTGACCCGTGCCGACTGATTTGGCACGGTCCCGGCACGGCTTACACGTGCCAGGGGGCGGTGGAGCGGGGGGAAGAGGAATACAATCAGGATGACAAGACGGTGGCAATTTCACACGATGCAGATTCTGAATTATGGAGATGCAAGCTCACCACAATGAGTCTCGATACAGCTGTGTGGGCGACATTGTATTTTATGAATAATACACTCGATGGTGGGGTGCAGCTGTGGCAAGTGGTTAGCTGACGGAGCCAATCACGCAAGGGATATCCGAGCCGGTTTGAGGCAAGCCCCTTCACCAACCCGCGCTGGCCAGTGTGAAGTATGGCCAAAGTGAGCCCGTGACCAACACTGAGTGGGGGAAGCCTTTGTAGATGGACAAAAACCGTTGTTAATTATTCTCCTTTGATTGGATGCTGGTGCCAAGCTAGAATGCTCAAGTCACTTAGAAATGTGTGCATTCATATGCCGGTCCATTGTCCCTTCTAGTTTTATAAACGATGCACCACTTTGTTGGAAGTCGCCGGCAGTTGACCTTTGGATAAACTGGCATATGCTACCATCGTATTGCGGAATTCCCATCACTGGCTCAGGGTGGCCGCACACTGCTCTATACTTGTTTGTGCATGGAGACACTTGACTCGTTTTGTTTTGATGTGTTTTTCAAATGATCGGCCAAACAAAAAGAACACTACATAGTTTTCAGTATTAGCATCCGAGACCCGCTCCATTTACTGGTTGGCTAGAACAACCGCACGTGCACACACACAGAATCCCCTCCCATATATATTGCATTAAATGCCCATTAACATTTACAAATTACCGTACAGTCGGAATAAACACAACTGAAATTGAAATGGTTTCAGTAAAGTAGGAAATTATTTAACGCTAGCGGGTGGCCGCTTCTGCAAGGAAAAAATGTTTTTTCTTCCAACTGCAACGACGAAAAAAAAACACGAAAAAACACAGGCGTACGTGTCGTTTTTTTTCATTTCTAATTTCTTATAAGAAACAGAAACCCTCCAGTTATCGTTGCCGCAATGTCTACCCGCTGCTGCCGCTGCTGGCTCGGCGTAAACGCAGTGCGGCAGAATGTGTGGGACGATGACTTTGCTAAATTCCTTGAATGTATTCAAATTTGTTTATTTTGTATCAATGGCCACCCGTGCCAACTAATGCAGACAACAAAAATGGCCTGTGATTAGCTGCAAATGAGAGAGAAAAAAAAAACCCAGAGTAATCGACAACAAAAAAAATACTCGATTCATTCGTTGTTGTATCTGGAGAGGCAATCTGAAGCCGGTGTGTTCGGGCTACCTAGTGGGTAGCAGAGGGGAGTGCAACAAAACTATTGCTGTATTGGACTTCTATGCTGCCGTCTCTACCGCTCCCCCCCCCCCCCCCGCTTTCACTGAGCAGCACTGATCAGCGAGAGCGTGTTCAAATAACTCGGGCGACCCACACGGCATGGGGAAGGCCCTCATCCAGCAGTGGACTGACAAAATGGCTGCTGCGTGTGCACATACCTGGGCCCGATTGGCTCGGAGCCGGAGAGCTTGCGCTTGCGGGACTCGGCAGGACCTGGCTCGGCCGCCCCCTCCCCGACACCGCTCATGATGCCTCACTCACCTCCTGCGATCACAAAGACACAGACAGATCCCCCCCCATGTAACCATTGACAAGGACTTTGGCTGCAACTCCATCGATAGTCTCCATTGTACAACAGAATCAGAATCTATTTAGACTGTTGGAATCCGATGAGCTACGATGCCCTTTCACAAATGTCCAACCCATTTAAAGAGAATACAAAAATATATCCATACACAGCAAGATACAAATGCTACCTCTACAATTCCATAATTACCCTCATCAACCATGTATGATGGCTTGTATTCATTCCAGCACTACTAATCACCACTTTATGGCCTATTGTTTGCGAACAGCACTGTGGCTAATTGAGAATAAATTAGGGCTTGTCGCTTCATATTGATACAACTCATCTGCTCAAGGCCCAAACAATGCAAGGATGTTTGCTACTGAATACTGTATCCTGAATGGCAGATATCGTGGTCTGGAAATCTTCGTGGCAAAGTGCATATTAGTCTCGACTGATGAATATTATTATAATGGTATTCTATATTTCTTAATTATTATTCTCCCAAAAAAACATTTGATCCGTCAGTGTCATGGCATGAGACAGAAGTATCATTTTGATTCTCTAGCAGAGCAGTGCAACCCTTTGTTAGACAATGGTCCATGAAAGCAGATATCAGAGCTACCTCTGATCTCTGCAAATGGCTCTGCATACACAAGTGAGGTTCGTTGCACGATTCTTTATCTCAGAGCTGTAACAGAACCAAATTTCATGCAATGTTATCTTGGCGGAGTCATCGGTGACCAGGTTGAGACCATTATAACGCGCCACACTTGAGGAACCTGGCAGCAGCCTGGATTAAAACCTCGCATCTCAGCAGTTTCCAGCTCAGCTCTCTGACCTCTGGATTCAAACCTAGCATCTCAGCAGTTGCCAACTCAGCCCTCTTACCTCCGAGCCACCTGGCCACCTCTCGTTCGAACATTCCAATTGAGACCTTATTTCCGTACAAATCTCTAGGCCAAACACCGTTTAAATTCATATTATTGTTTGCTTTAGAAGAAATGCACGAGCAGTAAGTCAGAATGCGCCAAGTTCATCCGGCATCACATCCCGTGGCAATCTGAGCACAGCCAAACTGCTTTTCTCTTGGAAGCTCGGCTGGAAAAGCGGACTGCGCTATCTTCCTCGACTTGTCCCCACCTCGTGCACAAACTCGGCGACACTGCAATCAACCCCTCCACCGAGGGGCGACCTCGACGAGCTGCAGCCGCTGGCTCGAGGGCGAGGCCCTGCCACCGCGAGGTTCAAAACAGCAGCGGTCAGAATGCTTCGCCACATTCACAGCCACGCACCACATCAAACCCGCAGTCGCACACAACTTTGCATCGATGTGTTTTAGTCCTCGGTTGAACATGCCCGGTACAGCAGTGTTCTTTGCAGGTAGACGTAGAGAATGTAAGCATTGCAACAGAGTGCAAGGAAACGCCAACTTTCAGTGCCGTATGTAATTGTCATGTGTAATTGCACGAATCAAAAACACACATCACTGCTGCTGTCATTAACTTGTCAGACAATGTGTTCCATATCAGGCTACAATTTGGGGTAATGGCCCTACTTCACAGCAGCAGAGAAGCGTAGGTGTGCATTCACCCATTGTTTAGCATCCAAATGCATTACATATATGTATGCCTGCAATGGTGTGCTGCTTGATTCTTTAAGCCATTTATATTACAAATGAGAGCTTTACCACACACATATATAATTCCAAAATCTAGTGCCTTTGGTAGTGCCCTATGAAAGACATGTAAATCATATGCCAGTCCTGTCAGCTGCAGGAACATGGCCAGCACAACCATACAAATCAAAAGGTGAATGGTCTGAATTTCATACCTCCCAGTTAACACATGAAATACAGGGCCCCCTCTTCCTGTGTTCTCTGACATGGAGAGAACATCGATGGCCGAGTTATAAGAAATCAAATCACGTGCTTAAAATCCAGAATCATGCGTAAAAATGTGGCGTGGGAGTTGTAGCGTAGTTATTCAACGTCAACATCCCAGAAGGTAGCATTCTAGCAAAAAGATTCCACAGTTCACTGCCAACAAATCGACATCACCGCTACCACCAACAACCCGAGCCTCCAAACTGATCTTACTCATTATCATTTACTACTATAATGAGCCAAGAATGTCTGTGTGTCCCGCGCGTAACGTCACTCCACGTCGGCCAGCCCCCCTCATTAATAATCATGAACAGGTAAAGTCCTCCAAATGGACACTCCCCCCCTCCATTAATAATAATTAGTGGCTGACGTCACTCCACACGGAGGGCCGAGGCGCCTCCTCCCCCCTCCTCAGCGTCAACTTACAAACCCTCACTACAAAGGCAGAACCCTCACGTCACGCGATCTCCGTAACGCTGTTGAGACATCGAAGTAAAAAGGACGTCATGCTGAACAAGGGATTATAACCTTTAAATGAAATAAGTTTGTGTCACTGCGGCATTACAAAAATTGCACACGAATTGATGCAATGAATATCACGTCGCCGTCTGCTTTTCGGTTGCAAGTTTCATATTTACTGCAATACACCCATCCTTGGACGGGCAAAAGGCTAGTTCTGATATAGCACTGTAACTGTACGACTGAGAACAGCACACGGTGAACATTAATGTGAGCAACATCTCTTACATTGCAATTAATTTCCTTTGTAAATTCCACCATTACCAACCAGCTTGTGCCGGACACCTGTAAATAAAATTAATGTGTCTTGATTATCCAGGTAGTTTAGTACGAAGCAGGTTTCCTCAAGATAGTAACATTTGCGACCTGATAAGAGTAATTGTTATATATGTGACTGTTTGGATGCTGCAATTCATTGGATGATTGTTTTGATTCGAAAGAAAGAGGCTTATACGGGTTATCTATAAATGTATAATTCACGCATTATTAAATAATTCTAATCTGACAGCAATTTCATCTACGTAGTTAAAATGTTCGTAACATATTTCGTATGTGCTTATGTTTTTTTATTTAATCGAACAACCCAAGCGATCTTCAAGATCACACGGCAGTAATATTCAAAATGAACGCAGCCGAGATGCTGATAAAACACACGGCACTCTCTCGACTCTCAATGCGGCCCGCATCGCTAACGCTACGGTGTACACGCTGAGGTTAAGCAATGAAAAACTTGTTCGCTAAAATCTTCATGCAACCAAATGCATGTGTGTGTGTGTGTATATATATACACAGTTTTATTGACCTCACTGAAACTGCTAAGTATCATTCTTTAATAATGCACGATACCTTTATGGACTGGCGGCTGCTTTCTGAATGACACGACGGGGTCACTGTGAATGGATATGTGCACATACTGTACCTATCAAACATCGATGCACATTTCCAGCACTTAACGGCCATCGATAAAGGTGCTGACTTTTTTTTATTAGAGTCTCCACAATTAAACGGGCGAGGAAATGGATGACGCATCACCTAAAGTTTCCCCCCTACAAAAGACCAAATCACCCGGCGAGTTCGTTGAGCGCGAGGTGCCCTAGTGTGCGAAATGCGAGGAACGTGTCGGCCATTCGCAGTCCTGAGATTGCTCAGTAGTTCCAGAAGGACGTGAATAACGATAATAATCAATTGTTATATATATTGCGTGCATAACGTCACAAAACATCGTGAAGCTCAGCTTTTTTTAATATATATCCTCGAGGACCCCCCCCCCCCGCAACTGTATTCGTTTATCAAATAATGCTCAAAGTCAAGGCAAATCCACTCCCTGTCGGGCAAACGCCTCAAACCATCACGTGAATTTAGGTGAATACTGGATATGGGAAGGTCAGCGAATGAAGGTGGAGAGACCGAGCTATGAATATCTCATGAACATATTGGAAATCTATCACCGGGAATATTTCTAGACTTGCCTAAAGTACCTCCTTGCAACTTTTCTGAAAACTGCGTTGGCTCGAGTCCAGTTAAAAAGCCACTGGCCATCTTGAGCGTGATTCCCTAAAAAAAATATTTTACCTTTTTGCGATCTAAAAAAAAAGAGAGAAAAAGGTAAAGGTGCAGCCCTGAAATTTCTTGCGAATGCCACAACAGGCAGAAAGGCCTCCACTAGAAGAAGGGGCTCTAGAGAGCCACTCCGGAGTGTATTTTTTGGCCTACGAGACTCGGCGCACCTACGCTTCACCTCGGCACGTGCAACCTTCGATCGACGAACTGTAGTGTACCCATGTAGATACTGTTGGGTGAACATAGGTAGATTAAAGAAACTTGCCCAATGTTTAACAGCTGCCACGCCGATAGATCGAACCGGTAATCTCCAGATTGTAAGTCCGGTGTGCTAGCCATTACACCGCGCAGCTTCCCCATGATGTAAACTGCCCTTCGAAAGAATGGCACATGCAGCAATCTCACATGCTCATTCAAAGGGCCTTTTAGCAATTTACTACACACCTCACACCAGGGACATTGTTTAAAAAAACTAAATGAACACAAACTCTATTTGGAAAAAAACGTTTCTGTACGAGAAAAAACAAATTAGCACTGTACTTATAGACAATATCATCGTGGTTTCCATCTCAATTAAAGAAAAAGAGAAACGTTTGTCCGTTTTTTAATGTCTTTTCCCTCCAGTTTATATGCCGATTGTGCCATTAGTATCGTGTTACGGGATGAAGAATTCATCCGGATCTCTCACAGAGCAGTGCAGTCTGTTTACTGCCCAGTGCTAATGGTGGTAATTCCACATTTCTATGGTGGGGGGGGGCGAGTCTTCCCACAGGACAAGCGCTCTTGAACTTCCAACAAAGCAGGACTTGTTTCATCACCCCGACCCCCGATGGGGCATTGGATCCTTGTGATCTTACATTCGCAGGCCGCGACGATATTGCACTTATTACAATCAAAACATTCATATTCTTTGGGTCTTTCGGTAAAGTCACGGAGAACAAAAAAATAAACAAAAAACTACGACGTTTCGATCGCAACACGATTGCTTGTGTTGCGATCGAAACGTCGTAGTTT